GGGTTTTTGGTAAGGGCGGTTATAGGATAATTGGTAAGGTGGTTTGGTAAGGGCTTTTCGATGTTACGAGTCAGGGTTTTTGTCGTAAAGAGAAGGCAGTATTATTAGATATGGTGAATTCCAGAAAATGTTGTAATAGGTGTAAGCGAAGACGTGCAGATGAGTTTTTCGAAGCGGATGCGGAGATATGTAAAGTGTGTGTGAATGAACTAGCACCTGGGAAAAATTGCTCTACTTGTCGGAGAAATAGGAGGGTAGAGGAAGTTGATGAAGGTTATATGTCGTGTAGGCGGTGTCTAGAAAATATGATGTTGTACAGGGACATTCATAAGGATAAACGGATGGAGCAGAATAAAGATTATCGCGAGCGGCACAGGGAAGAAAAAACAGTTGTATAATTCTTTGGTGGTTCATTGTGATGTTTGTGATTGCGATGTTCTGGCATGTAACTTTGCGAGAAACATAAGAAAACGAATAAGCAAATAGAAAGTTAACGAAGGAGGCGGATTAGTTCATATTATGGAATAATGTGAATTAATTTTTGGCGCGGCATTTATATGGTGAACCGGTGAACCATACGCATACCAATAGCTAGCTATCAACCCCCCCCCCCAGTTCACGACTGAGCCCCGGTATTGAAGAACAGGGAAAACTCATCAAACAGCTTCGTACAATTTTTTTGACTCTTGAGTGGCAATGGCTACGACGTATGCATATTAGCCCTTGCATGTCTACATAAACATGCAAGTCTACACATATCATGTCGAGATAATGTTTTAGTGGCGCTGCCAAAGTGCAAGAGAAGCGCACGCTCACAGCGACCCGGTCACTATATTTACTGTATATACTACACATACCATATATACTGTTTACACTATATCTATATATATATACATACTATATGTGTATATATTATATTATATTATATTATATTATATTATATTCTATTCTATTATGTTATGTTATATTATATTATATTATATTATATTATATTATATTATATATATATTACATATTGTATTACATATTGTATTACATACTATATATACTATAGACTATATATCATATATTATATATTATATATAATATATTACATACTATAAGGTATGTTATATTACATTGCACTATGTCATATCATATCATATGCATAAATATATATATACATATTATATATATATATATAATGTATTCTTATATACATATACATCTACATATACATATACATATAATTATATATATATATACTTACACACACACATATATTATGTATACTGTAGAGTGTATATATATGTAATATATATATATATACATATAGAAATATAAACGCATAAAACATAATACGGAAAATGATACAATGTAAGAAGTAAATTTTCCAGCAGAATAGAATAGAACAGAATATGGTACCATGTATTATAGTATAATGTATTATGATAAAATGTTTTATGATGTAATGTAACTTAATGTATCGTAAGGTAATGTAATATATAACATGAAAGAATATGATACAGTATATATAATAAAGTATACAACATAAGAGAAGATATTATATATTATATAATGTGATATAACAACATATAATGGAAGATAAGGTAAGGTAAAATGAGATTAGATGAGATAAGACAAGTTAAGATAAGATAAGAATACACATATATATATATATACAT